AGAAAGCAAATCTCAAAATTCATCTACGAATTCATACTGGAGAAAAACCTTATATATGTGGTGTAGGAGGTAAAGTTTTATCCAGAAGAATTTCTTTATAGCACATCAGAGATTTCACATAGTAAACCAGTTCTTTGCATGAATTAAATGTGGAAAATCTTATTTGTAGAAGTCAAGTCTCATTAAACATGAGAAAATTCCCAGGGAGAAGAGTTTTCATTCAGGTTAGTGTAACAAAGGTTTCAAAACAAAGGAAGAGATGCTAGACTTTGGCCTGGACCAAGTGTGGGAATGGATGATTGAGACTTACCATACAGGTACCCATTCTCTGAATTGCTGTCCCTCTACTGACATGGCCCATCAGTGTGGGGACAGGGCCTTCCAGACCTCCACATGGCCCAAGGGCACCTCATTGCTCTTCCAGCTTCCAGTGCCTGAAAGAGAGCTGAACCTGTTTTCCCTGGATCACAGCTATACCAAACAGTAGATTGCCCACTCAGATGCCAGTAGTGTCCGCCCCACCTGCATGTTCATTGTTACCCCCAGAAACAGCACCAAAATTCTGTAAAATAAGAAGATGATAGATAGAAAATGATAAGAAGATGACAGATGTACTGCCTGCAGGACAAGCAGGTCTGTCTTGGAATAAGGACAACTTGGATGCATCTTGGAAGCATCCAATAAGACTTTATCTCACTTATTTGAGAATGTCATTAGAAGCACCACAACCTGGAGAGTGGTCTTGTGCTTGGTAAATTAGACTGCCAGTGAAAAAGAGAGAGTCTTTCCAGGAGGTGGATTGTCACAAAGGCTGCAATGATGAGTCCAAACGGAGGAATGATTGTGATCATAGTGCACTTCTGGGCAGTAATTCATGGGATCTCTAGGAGTCAAAGCCAATTCAAGGGTAGCTAACAATTCAACATATTCAATATTATTTAGGTCATTCTAAGTTAAAATTAGTTCATAAACGCACACTTGTGAGTATTCACTGGAATGAAAACATTGAATATCCATCTGATGGCATGGAGAACATTTGGAGCTAACATGAGAATTTATTCCTGCATTAGTAATTTTATAATGAGATTGGTGGCATAGGGGTTATGCGGTGCGCTGAGATCTGTTTGCCAGTGCCCACTCCAAAGAAGAAAGACATGCCTTTCTACTCCCATAGGCAGTTAGAATCTTAGAGACCCACAGGGGAATCACTATAAATTGTCCTCAACTCGATGGCAGCGAGTTTGGGCTTTTTTTTTCTTCCAATATTTCTAACTTTGACAACAAACAGCACTATTTAGTATCCTGAACTGTCAATTGAGATTTCATCGATACCTATAACTTTGAAGTCTGCCTTTGGATAAATGGCCAAACAGACAAAGCCCATTCCAATAAAAAGAAGGCATGTTCAGATACATGAAGTTTCACTAGAGACTGTGCTTTGTGGTCCCTAGAGAGGTGCTGACAAGGTGGGGGCACCACAGCTTCTGAGAGGAAAGCATCACTGACTTGTCTCTTTCACATCTGCTGAAACCATGACCTGATGTACTAAGGTTTGTGTCTACGCACACACTGACTTCCAATCACTATGTCTCTAGCACAGTAATACACGGCTGTGTGCTCAGGATTCATGGAGCTCAGTTTTAAAGGAACTTGGCTCTTGGAGGTGTCCTTGGTGATGCTGATTTGGGACTAGGAGAGCTATATTATACTCTGTGCTCCCACCACTCCATATTACACCAACCCAGTCCAATCTCTTTCCTGGAACCTGGCAGATCCAGTCCACACCATAGCTGTTTAAAGAGAATCCAGAGACAGCACAGGTGACAGGGTTCATGAGGGGTTCACCAGTCCAGGGCCTGACTCTTGTAGCTGCACCTGGGGATAAAGAGAAACCCAGTGAGTCATGTGCTAAGATGCTGCATCCCCAGACTTCATGTTCATGTGGTTAAGATTCATGACACCCAGAAATGCTCTCCAGAATGAGAAGGAATACAAATTTAAGTCCATGTATGCTATGGTTTCATGGGACTGGTGCACTTGTATGTAAAGATGGAAAGGGCTGAATGGAGCCCGTAGCTCTGGGACTCACACTAGAAAGGCGATGCTGGTGGAGCCCTTGGGAGAAAACAGTCCTCTCTCTGAGGTCTTGACTCTACCAATCGTATGAACATCTGCAGATTTCATGTTCACTGTAACTTTATGTCCTTTCCCATCTATTGATATTAAAGACAATCTCTATCTTCACCATGTTTGAGGCAGTAGAGCTACCATAGTGGTCAGCACAGCAGTTCTAGCTGATCAAGCACTGCACTCCTTACATAGGCTCCTGTCCTCACTTCTTTCTTCTCTTGGTCCAGAGCTGGTGGGTCCTTAGCATCCCTGCAGGTCAGCTTTCTCCCTGAGGTTAGTTTACTGTCTGGAGTCACACTGACTCTCCCTCACTGTGAACAGATTTGCAGGTAGAGAGTGCTACAACTTGCAAACAATCTGAATTGGGTACAGAGGAAGGAAGTATGATCTATAGATATTTATATGGATATGCTATTGAGATATATTCCACAATAAAATACTGATTCAGAACAAATCTGCCTGAAAGACAAGGAAGGTATTGAATAGTTTAGCTTTCATTCTTTCCACAGGAAGAAAAAGGTACTTAAAGCAGTCTTCTATTCAAAATAATTGAAGCAAGAAAGTAATAGTTATTTATTCCATGTAAAGGAGGGAATTGTCAAGTCAGAATTCTTTTTTATGGTTGTCTGTGAAGTGTGTGATAGTAAATCTGACAGCTGTTGACAATTGTTGAACACAACGATAATCTAATGCCACAGAATTATGCATGAGAAGAATGTTGAAAATATTTTGTTGCCTATAGATGTACCATGAGAAAAATAAGTTAAAAAATGAAAGATTTTTTCATACATAATCAGAAACTGATGGAAAGTCTTACAGGTACATCAACACTTCAAAAAACTAGCTAAAATATTTAACCGGAAAAGAGATTATGATATAAGCCAGAAATCTGAATTTAAAATATTGTCAGAAATTGAATAGTTTTTAGTTAATATTTATTTTCCCATTTTTTCCTCCACATCCATTTTATTTGGTGCTAATAATCATATAAATCCATAGTTCAAGTGCATCAAGCAGTATTGTACAATTGTTACCAAGATCAGTTTCAAAACACCCTCTTCCTCTTGAGCTCCTTGGCATCAGCTCCCTTTTATCCCACCCCCCACTGTAGTCCCCAGAATCCCTTATTCTCTTTGCTATCTCTGTATGTTCATCAATTCAGGTTTCATCTAATGTAAAACAGAAAAACAAAGAACAAAAATTCAAGAATGTTACCGCCAATGACAAAATACATCTGAGATAAACCCAAATAGGAATTGGAAATTGAAGAAGAAGGTAGTCCAAGTGCAGTCTGCTGTCCTCCCTCAGAGTCCAGAACAGACCCAGGTATGCTTAGGACCAAATATGTCAGTCTGACTACTGGAATGTGATGACCTTGCTGTCTGACTGCCTTTCCCAAGGCTTCTGGACCCAAAAACACTCTTTAGTAGCTGGTGTCCTACAACATCCCTCTTCTATGTTCTTCTGAACACATGCTGACATTCCCCAAACTGATTGTTATGCACATTACATGGAATATACAAAACAACAAAACCAACTTAATGCCTTCCAGTAGATTCCACCTCATAGTACAACCCTATTTCTCTACCTTTGCTGTTGAGGAGGGAACACTGTTCTTCAACTGTAGCACAAACAAGGGATACTTGCAGACCTCCATCCCTGCGCTGGCCGCACAGTGAAACCTCTGGCTGTGGAGACCGCTGCCCACTCCTGAAGATGAGCCGCCTCTGTCTCTTCTGTGTGAGTAAACTGCTGTTGCATCCAATGCCTGTGTATAAGCTGTGCTTTTGCTGGTGACCTCAGCCATTGGTTTAACAGAAATAACTGTTAAGACGTCCTTACACTATAAAAGGGAAACATACAAATGGATGGAAGAATAAGATTATTTTTATCAAATTACCATGTAAATTGAAGCACAGCCATAAAAATGTATATTTAATAGGAAAATCATTAACATGTTAATAAATATAATTACATAATACCATAAATGATGTCACAGAAAAAGATGGCATCATTAACCTAAAAACACAATGTGGGAAATTCTATGGAGACCAAGGTAATGGAAAAGAGAACAATTCCTGACAACAGTATTAAATATGATTAAACAAAATACAGAAAGCAAACTAATGGAGATGAGCAACCAGAATAAGATTCAAATTGGAAACACAGGTAACATAACTCACTGGCATCAAGTGAATTCTGACTCACAGTGACCGTCTAGAGCACAGTAGATCTGCCCCTTAGGGTTAGGCACTGTAAAACTTTTTTTTTAATTGAGAGATTGTCAAAGTTTAATATGAAATATATGTTGGATAACATATCAATGTTAGATTTCTTATTGAATTTCCAATATTATTAAAATGATTTTTGAAAGCATTCAAAATAAAAATGCTTTAAAACATTTGTTCCACAACTAATATCTTTTAATATTTCTTTAAAACAAAAACACTTTTATTAGGACCCAATACAGACATCATCCCATTCTATAGTTAAATCATATCAAGCAGTGTTGTACACTCATGTAGAAAGCATGTTCTTTCTTCTTGAACTCCTTTCTATTAACTTGCCCAGCTCTCTTACTGAAACCCCCAGGAACCCTTATTCTGGTTATTGGCTCTGTAGAGTCACCCACCCTGTGCTTCATAAATTAAGAAACAGAAAAATATATGAGAATCAAAAATGCTACCAACAATGACAAAACATAGCAGCAATAACCCCGTAAATGTATAAAACAAAAACACATGCCAGAAGAAACCAACTCCTAGCACATTCACTACGGGTTCGGTAGGCGCAAGTGTACAGCGATAATAAGTAAATATTATAGTAAAATTACAGAGAGCATGAGAGATAAAAGATACATAGAAATAAATGGAGTCAGACACATTTCATGGTAGCATTGCTCACCTCAGCCCTAATTGGTAGTCCACGTGGAGGGAGGGGGAAGGGAAGGAGGG